AGGCCCCCGCACTCCCGCCCCACGGATCAACGGCCTACCCCCCCCCCCCATCTACACTGTCTCTCAGCACCCCTGCCGCACTGCTTGGCTTCTCTCTCCCCTTGCAGGCACCGCCTGATGTTCCTCTGATTACCGTCCTTCCTTGGGCTCTTTGCGCTGGTTCACATGCTGCACTCTCAGTCTCTCAGAAAGGCTCTGCTGGCAGCTTGGACATCTTCCCCCCTGCTCTGACACGTCCACATGCTCATACACCCTGCAGTTAAAAAGCAGAGGGAGCTTTGCATGCTGCACTCTGCATGCTGGACTCTGCATGCTGCACTCTGCATGCTGCACTCTGCATGCTGCACTCTGCATGCTGCACTCTGCATGCTGCACTCTGCGACTCCTCACAGTCCCACCTGTTATGGAGGCAAATGATAGAAAATTAAGCCTGACTGAAATGTGCATTTTGTGCACCACTAGCATCAGAATGGAAATCAGCTGTCACATTCATAGTCTTTCCATTATTAATCAGAACCAAACAAAGAAAACTATCGATAATGGTAATATCTGTACCCATAAATATACAGGCCTAGATATGCATTAGTGTTACTGTAAACCAGGGGTGTCAAACTCCAGTCCTGGGGGGCCGGAGCCCCGTGTAGCTTAGTTCTTTCCCTGTTCCACCATAAATGATTCAGCCACAGAGCTGTGTGGTAATTAGCACAAGAAGTTGAATCAGGTGTGTTAAACGAGGGGAAACCCAAAAAAGTGCAGGGCTCCGGCCCCCCAGGACTGGAGTCTGACACCTGTGCTGTAAACTGCAATGCAGCTTCCACCAAGAAGTTCGTTTGGAAACAATAAGCATATTTACTAGATACTGGGGGAGAATCAACCTTGAAAAATAAGCCTTGATTAATGATTTTGCAAGGGTCCCCTGCACTAAGACTTCATAGTATGCACTAAGACTTCATAGTATGCACTAAGACTTCATAGTATGTAAAAAGAGCTGATACGAGTCCCGGGATGGCGGTCTGGCGAAAGGGCCGCGTGCTTTAGAAGGCGTCCCACGATGTTCGCATCCCCAAATAGCGTAAACCACTTTTTCAAGCCTCTCCACAGTTAATAGCAAAAACAGCAATTAAGAACAGGGGGGCAATCTGGTGAAAAACTGCATTAAACTGCATTCTGTAAAGAGGCGTCTTTTACTACATGCCTGAAGCAACACAACTGACACAATGAAAGAGTTAAAACCAGAAAGGACTTTTTTTAAAGAACAAAATGCCATTCAATTAATTAGGAAACATAAGCCAGACAAAAATGAGAAGGAAAACATTCAGTGCCTCAGATTTATGTACTCAGCTGTTGTCTGAACGTTAACCTTACAGTCCAGCATTCACTCTATAAAGCAGGGGTGTCAAAATCCAGTGCTGGGGGCCAGAGCCCTATGCAGCTTAGTTCTTTCCCTGTTCCACCATAAATGATTCAGCTCAAGAGCTGTGTGGTAATTAGCACAAGGACCTGAATCAGGTGTGTTAAATAAGGGGAAACCCAAAAATGTACAGGGCTCCAGCCCCCCAGGACTGGAGTTTGACACACCTGCTGTAAAGCATACTGGGAGGGAGGGGGGGTGTTACCATCTGTCCTGGTCAAATTGCTCATGTACCAGGAGGATGCCGATCACCAGTAAACAAGAAAAACATCAGTAAAATGTGACAAGATGAGGCTGGGGGGGGGGGGGGCAACTTACCTGACCACTAAAATAACACGTAATGCTACCTTAGGAGAATTATTATTGACAGTAACAAATCTGAGTCTGTTCTCCAAGTAACACATATAGAATAAGATCATGAAATCCAAGAAATCAGTTTCTCTCAAACTAAAGATAGAGGAAAAATGGCTATTGCTCACATGTCAGCACAACTATCCCGTCCGCCATGGTGTGTTTCCCTGGCTAGTGCCACCGAGCCTGGCTGGGCTCCTCACTGCCGATGAACTGGGCCGCGGGTCACAAGCTGCGGAGAAACTGCACTGAAGAAAATGATGCACTGCTTCAGAAATCCGGAGGGGAGAAGACAGAGGCTGGCAACTCCACAGTCATACAACTTATTTTCCATAAAACAGAGAGAGTGTGTGTGTGTGTAGGGTGGGGGATGCGGGGTGTGTGTGTGTGTGTTTGTGTGAAGACTCCTGTTCTACAGAACATGGTGATGTCATTCCTCCCATCATTCCTCCCGTCATTCTTCCTCTGCACCTGTCACAGAAAAGACAGATGGAAGGACAGACAGAAAAGACAGATGGAAGGACAGAACATTAGCTCAACTTCATAACTTCATGTAACATGTATAGCTTCAGCATATAAACATTTGAAAATATGGTTTCAAAACCCAAGTTGAGGGTTTCAATCACAGTCAGTCATTATCTCAATGGACATTGGACATCAATCATTATGACCACTGGAAATGAACTGTGATTTGTGACTTTTTTAGCTGCCAGTGAAAGAACAGTAAATCATAGTCTTTCCAGCCTGCTCGCCCCTCTGCCCGTGACGCCCTTCCGGCCTGCTCGCCCCTCTGCCCGTGACGCCCTTCCGGCCTGCTCGCCCCTCTGCCCGTGACGCCCTTCCGGGCTACTCGCCCCTCTGCCAAAGACGTCTCTCCTGTATGCCCCGCTGCTGTACCACTGCTCATCCTGCCATCAGAAGCAGCACCAGCATCTGCCTGCCATCATCTTCCTGCGCCCCCCCGCTTTAAGACACAAATGTTAGAATTTGGACAGTGGGAAATGGGACTTTGCCATCTTGCTCATTTGACTTCCTCTGCCGGCCCCTGAAGGAAGCGCTCTCCCCCTTTGAGGCCGTTTCCTCCCAAGGTTTCTTCCTTCTAAAGACTTTTCCTTGTCACTGGAGGCTTTAGGCAGGGATAATGCAAAGTACTTTGACACAATGTAATTTTGTGAAAATGCGCTATACAAATAAAACTGAATTGAATTGAATTGAACAACCTGGATGGGATGTCATTTCATTGTAGGGCACACATACTCACACACTATTAACAACATCAATTCACCTAAACCACATGTTTTTGGAGGAAACCAGGGCAACAGGAATGTTCTCATCGGGGTGTACAATATAAAACATCCAAATGCACGTCTCCTGCAGTGGTCGCCATTTTTCATTTTCCCACTTAAAAGAATCCTCTGCCTGTTCTCTCAGTACTTCTGCTCTTTAAATGCTGTACTTAAGTTTTAAGCAACGCTGTGGGAATGGAGTGAACACTATTCATTAGCCAGAGAGTGCCTGCTTTGGCAAATGGGCCATATGGCCAATAGATCACAATGTCCTTCTCTGTTCATGCTCACATTTAAACACACCGTATATACATGTGTTTTATCAGCCAGTAACCAATCCAATGGGCAGTCCATCACATATATAATAGAAATAATCTTTGTCAAGCCCAGGGATTGGGGTTTATAGTCTCTCAAATATGATTAATCACATGGGCTTTTGCTTGTGTGGGTCACTGATTGCAGTGGTGGAATAGTAGGTAAAACAATAGCATTCATTCATAGCTGATGCTGACTTGTGTGGTCTGTTGTGTTGGTGAAAGGAACAATGGACGGATCTCTCAGGCATTAACAATGAGCAGCCCAGGAGTTTACGGGTCGTAGGTAATGGCCACATCTGTGTTGCAGGAAACATAGGAAGAAAAATGCTATAACACAGCACAGAGGGGTTAGTGATTAATGTCCGTATTTTCTGGTTTATCTGGAGTCATTTTGGGTGTGATGACACAGGGCCCTCTTAGACTTATCAGGTATGCAACTCACTGGTTTACATGTAATCATGCTACATATACAAGAAGATCCCATTTTTTACCAAATATCTCTGAGTTTGTCTGTTACATCCAGTAGTTCCTAGATACTCTTGTTTCCCAAATTTCCAGCAAACACTGCACCTCTGCCATAGATCAAAGTGATCTCTTGTTAAATGTTTGTTGCTACCTCATCTGTGCAGCTAATCCCAATCTGTTCCTTCCAGGCCCAGTTAATGTACATGTGCACATGTGTGTGGCAGTCGCATCATTGACGGCGTGTTTGTGTTCCGTGCTCAGGCACAGCTAGTTTTCACACTGCATGTGCACCATGCCCCACCATACCTCATCCAGTGGCCCCGGGCACAGTTCAGTATACTGTGGCGAAGCACGGTACGGCGCGATCACACTAGTCGAACAAACTAGACTTTGGGGGTCAAACGTGGGGTGGGTCACTCTTACCATTTATCCCCTACATCCATCAAGTTTTAATTGAATGCCAAGGGGGTGATTCCAAGCTCTGACGCCACACAGCCTCGCCTCAGGCCCTCTCCACCACCGCATGGATCTCGCAGAAGCTGACAGAGCTCCTTTGTGTTGACATAGAGAACAAAAGAAGACGTGTTACCGTAGGCTGAAGTACATCTCCAGAAGCTTCCGCATCTGCATTCTTCATTAAGCATCATGCTGCTCATGGCTAAAATAAAATCTTGTGACAGGTCACTGCAGCAATAAAGTGAGACAACTAAACAAAAAAATCAACAAAATCATGAAGACTCACAAGTTTCTCATTTGCTAATAGTTATTCATGAGGAATTATGAAGACCTGCACAATGTTTCAGAAAGGAAGTGCACAGTAGCACAGAAAACGTAACATACATCAATGGGCCTCCATGAAGTAAAGGGCCTCCAAGAGGTAAAGGGCATCCAAGAAGTAATGGGTCTCCAAGAAGTAAATGACCTCCAAGAAGTAATGGGCCTCTAAGAAGTAATGGGCCTATAAGAAGTAAAGGGCCTCCAAGAAGTAAATGCCCTCCAAGAGGTAATGGGCCTCTAAGAAGTAATGGGCCTCCAAGAAGTAAAGGGCCTCCAAGAGTTTATGGGCCTCCAAAAAGGAAAGGGCCTCCAAGAGGTAAAGGGCCTCCAAGAGGTAATAGGCCTCTAAGAAGTAATGGGCCTCCAAGAAGTAAAGAGGTAAAGGGCTTCCAGGAAGTAAAGGGCCTCCAAGAGGAAATAGGCCTCTAAGAAGTAATGGGCCTATAAGAAGTAAAGGGCCTCCAAGAAGTAAAGGGTCTCCAAGAAGTAAATGACCTCCAAGAGGTAATGGACCTCCAAGAAGTAAAGAGGTAAAGGGCTTCCAGGAAGTAAAGGGCCTCCAAGAGGAAATAGGCCTCTAAGAAGTAATGGGCCTCCAAGAGGTAAATGAGTAAAGGGTTTCAAGGAAGTAAAAGGCCTCCATGAGGTAATGGGCCTCCAAGAAGTAAAGGGCCTCGAAGAGGTAATGGGCCTCCAAGAAGTAAATGACCTCCAACAGGTAATAGGCCTCCAAGAAGTAATGGGCCTCCAAGAGGTAAAAGACCTCCAAGATGTAATGGACCTCCAAGAAGTAAAGAGGTAGAGGGCTTCCAGGAAGTAAATGACCTCCAAGAGGTAATAAGCCTCTAAGAAGTAATGGGCCTCCAAGAGGTAAAGGGCCTCCAAGAAGTACTGGGCCTCCAAGAGGTAAAAGGCCTCCAAGAAGTAACGGGCCTCCAAGAAGTAATGGGCCTCCAAGAAGTAAAGCAGTAAAGGGCTTCCAGGAAGTAAAAGGCCTCCAAGAGGTAATGTGCCTCCAAGAAGTAAAGGGCCTCCAAGAGGTAATGGGCCTCCAAGATGTAATGGGCCTCCAAGAAGTAAAGAGGTAAAGGGCTTCCAGGAAGTAAAAGGCCTCAAAGAGGTAATGGGCCTCCAGGAAGTAATGGGCCTCCAAGAGGTAAAGGGCCTCCAAGAAGTAATGGGCCTCCAAGAAGTAAAGAGGTAAAGGGCTTCCAGTAAGTAAAAGGCCTCTAAGAGGTAATGGGCCTCCAAGAAGTAAAGGGCCTCCAAGAGGTAAAGGGCCTCCAAGAAGTAATGGGCCTCCCAGATGTAATGGGCCTCCAAGAAGTAAAGAGGTAAAGGGCTTCCAGGAAGTAAAAGGCCTCCAAGAGGTAATGGGCCTCCAACAAGTAAAGGGCCTCCAAGAAGTAAAGAGGTAAATGGCTTCCAGGAAGTAAAAGGCCTCCAAGAGGTAATGGGCCTCCAACAAGTAAAGGGCCTCCAAGAAGTAAATGACTTCCAAGAGGTAATGGGCCTCTAAGAAGTAAAGAGCCTCCGAAATATTGTCCCACAAATCATGATGCCTCATCATGCACTTGGCAACTGGGGGCAGCTTGTCAGCAGCACAACACCAGATGATACAATAAAGCAGCTTTCAGATACTTATTTTAAACCAATGTGATGTTTGTCATAAGAGGTTATTTCCACAGAGAACAAAGAGCAGTGTCTTCAAGCTGAAATTTGTTGGTCAGAAAGTGTGTGAACCCTGTTAAATGTAAATTAAAACAAGCTAAAGGCTTCTATCAGAAATTTTCTTGACATTTGATTTCTACTACATTATATGTCATGCGGTTCTATATATTTTTACATATAATACAAGGGATTTCTGAAAAATTTGCAGGACCACTGGGAGAGGAAGCAGATTGGTACCGATTGTCCGGTGCTCTAACCTGAATCAGCAGACAGCTATGAAGAGTAGCTCCTTTGTGCTGGTACTGAAAACAGGTTCTGTTCTGACCCATTTACGGAACGCATAGCGCATTACAAACTCATTGGTGGTCCATAAACAGTCCTGTTTTTATCTAAACTTGCAGAGCACGAAGAACTCCAGACGCCCAAACCACATAACGGCAGCCTGATTCATGTGAAAATGCCTGACGCTTCAGAGTGGCGCTAAATCGAATCGCAAGACTGTGGGAAAGTGTTATAAATCATGAGCCATGGAATTCTATACCTTCAGTTTGTTAATTGCAAGAATAAACCTTTAAGATGGCCATGTCCAGCCCTCTGTGCTGGTGTAAACCCTCCTGTTATGGTATATTAAGACTTATGACCTGCATGTTTGGATACATACCAAATCTCCCTGTCCAACTGAGCCATGTTCAGGACAAACATGTGGTGTTGCTGCCTGCAGAACCTGAATACGACGAAAGTGGGTATGGAAACAGTGTGGGGTGGGGGGGCATAAAACCATGGGAAAAATGGAAGTGGACTGCTGTCTGCCATGAGGAC